AAAGTGACAACAGCATTAGTGATTACTGAACAACGTGTGTTTAGGGATCATACGCTGTCGTGCACGGACGGCCTCGAACCAGCACCCTCCGTCACAGGAACGAAGTATCGTAACCACTACAACCCTTGGAGGTGTTATAAAAACTGGATCCATACCGATCATGATATCCAGCCCACCTCCAGGGCTGCAGCGTCCTTGAACTCAACACCACACACCCAACGCACACCACACCACGGACTTGACAGTCACGCACACTCCGTCGAACACACGTAGCCCCACCACCGCTACCAGACCTGCTCACTCTTGCGGACCAACTTGCCTGCTGGTTCACAGGCGCCTCACAGTGATTACTGAACAACGTGTGTTTAGGGATCATACCCTGCCGTGCACGGACGGCCCTGAACAGCGTTAGGACTGGTCCTAAAAATTTTAGGAATCCCCAGCCAAAAGTACCCGAAAAATAAAGCTCCTCGCGAGGAACAAGTCGTGGGTGTGGAGAGGGCGTCCTCTAAAAGTTGAACCGTGGTGGCACCCTCTATTGGCTGAAACCCTTAAGCACTAATTCTTTTTCTTTCCTTTTTTTCTTGTAATGACACCTTTCTTTCAGGACTGGTCCTAAACAATGTTTTTTTAGGAATGTGTGTAGCCAAGACGCCACAATTCCTAAAATTCTTTTATCACTGGTCCTAAATGTTTTAGGATTCCTTTAGGAGTGTCCAACGAGCCCCTTAGATAGATAGATAGAATAGAATAGAATAGAATAGAATAGATACATAGATAGATAAATCCATTGCTTACGTACCCTCTTTGCCGTATCCCAATCTGTCTTCTCTTGGAGGAGCACGCACACGGCCTCGAGAGTCGTTTGCACAAGGGCGGGAGGCTTGGTGAATGACTTGATCTCGGTGATGTCATTCTTATTCAGGGCGTTCAGCGCCTCTAGAGCAGCTTCAAGGGCCGGCAATGCCTCGTCCAGATCCTTCTGAGCGTCATCCTTGATGGCCTGGGTCTGGGAGGCCTGCTTTTTTACCTCAGCCTCTTCTCTTGCCACATTGTCTTTCACCTGTTCAGCAGTTGAATTTCAGTCAGAAGAAGGGGGCAGGAGGGGACAGGAAAGGAGAGGAGACTAGGCGAGAAGAGAGGAGAGGAGAGGAGRKGGGSGGRGKGGGRSGGGGGRGGGGAGGTGGGAGTGGGAGGTGGAAGAACGAAAACAAAATTGAGTAACATGTATAAATTGGCAGGGAGGGAGAGGGGGGGGGGGGGGGGTGGCGCGCAGGGGGGACAGATTTAACACATCGCAATAAATTCAGGCGGTCGTCCAAAAATAAAATGGAGTAACAGGAGTAAATGGGGGAAAAAAAAAAAAAAAAAGATAAAGAAAAATACGAAAATGGATGTAACAGATGGCAACAGATTCATCTTTTGTTTTTTTTTTTTGCAATAGAAAAGTGCAAACAGTAAACGGGAGAGGGGGGGGCGGAGTGGTGGGGGTCGGTCAAGCCTTCAGGGTTGATTAATCTCCTCACCACGTCATTAGTTATGCAAGGGTGTGATGTTGGTAGTCAAGCGTTCACGGTTGACTTTATTCACGACAAACAGAAATGTCCGGCGATGAACAGATCACGTGCCAAAAGCAATGATTTAAGAATGATATGGATGAGTATTCGGCAGGGATGGGAGTGGTGGGGGTGGAGAGGGGAGGCTGAGGAGAAGGAAGAGATCTGATTCGCGGGTGTCTCTAAGCTGAGTCCTTCATTGAATGTGATCAGAAGATAATGGTCGGAGTCCTAGAATAAATAAATAAATGAGGGGAATGACTGACCGATTAAATGATCAGAATATATTGGTCGGAGTTATACATAAAAACACAAAAATTGATAAAATACATAAAATAAATAAAATAAATAAACAAATAAACAAATAAACAAATAAACAAATAAACAAATATGCAATGAACCCAGTCAGATGAGAAGCTCTTGAATGTCGAAATACAAGTCTGACACAGCGCAGCATCAATGTCTCCAAAACTAGTTCATGAAACCATGCTCGTCATACATGTAGTCTCCCAATGTTTCGAACTCAGAGAAGAGAATGAGGAGAGAGGGGGAAGAGACTGAGATGAGGAGGAGGAGGAGGAGGAGAGTTTCCTCTTTTTTTTTTTCTTTTTTTTTTTTAACAGCCCGAGAAGGTTGCTAGGGGTGCTGATAAGAGCAGACACCCCTAGCACTCTCTGGGAGGCTCCATCTATTGGTGGGGAGCAGCACCTGCTGGAAACCGGGTCCAACGTCCCATTGACAATCTTGCTGAGAAGCAGGCTCAGCGTCCTTTAAGAAGTACATAAGTGAATACCAGAAGAGAGAGGCTTCTACTGCTGGGAACCAAGTCCAGCGTCTTTCCTGCACCCCTTGCCAGCATTGATTGCCCTGATTTCCAGGGGATATACTGAGCAGGGCTATAGTCTGAAAAAAAACGCCGTCGGTGGTCTGGGGGTGAGAATTAGAATGCCATCTTGGACCCGGGGGGCACCGGGATTCATGGCCGTCTCCCAACCACCGATCCTCAACCACACCGGACTGTCTCAGAAGTGACTCCTCTTTCCCATAGCCTCTTGCCCTGTGTCCTGAAAAAATCAGGCTACGAAAAAGCTTTGAAAGTCTGGAGGAACTTGACAAGATCTAAAAAAGGACTGAAAAAGGCTTTGCAGGAAAAAAAAGCAGGAAATGAACCCAGATGAACTTAAGATGAACCAAGGTGAACAAAATAGAATGGAGTAGGCTGAATTAAAATTGACTTAAAACTAGGATGACCTGAGCTTCCTCACATTGTATCCTGGTGTATCCTGCTGTATCCTGCTTTTGCAACTAGGATGACCTGAGCTTCCTCACATTGTGTCCTGGTGTATCCTGCAATATCCTGCTGCAAAAGGCTCAGGTCCTATCGCCGTGGTCATTGGGGCTTCATGGGGGGGGTAGGACTTCCTCCAAGGACAATGGGTGGGGGGGGAAGGGGTCTACGAACTCCTGAGCAGGGCGTAGCAGGTCCGCCGGATCTACCTTGGTCCGTTCACGAAAGATCAGCTGATAGTCTCTTGCCGTCTCTGTCCGGGGATCTATTTGTCGTTCTTCTTCAGGCTGACGATCCCCGACCCACCTCACCTCTGCCACCCATCCCTCCCTTTCCCCTCCCAACCAGTCCCTGCTGAAACGTGAAATAGTTCGGTTGATATCTCCCCAGGTATGCATTTGATCAAGTTTGTCTTTAGTTCCCTTCCATTGGGCCGCTATTTCGTGTTGGACTACCGTTCGTATTTGCTCCGTAACTTCTCCATCTTCCACCCACGCTCCCTCTATCTCAAGGATACATCTTCGCCACCATTTAGTCCATAGGACAGTGCGGCTGCCCAGATTAAACATATTTTCCTCAAATGTGTTTCCCCGGATTTGGGGGTAGTATCCCAGGAGTATAGCTCTCCAATCCCATGGCCATACTGTACCAGGAGCAATGTGTCGCCAAATCCTGTCCCAGCTTCTCCATAGTAATATCGTCGCAGGACATTGGAGGAAAATGTGTTCTATTGTCTCATAACGCCTCCTCCCAGGGTAGCATTGGAGGCACTTATGGCACCAAGGTAATGCCCTCCCTTGTTGTTCTAGGCGTGTATGCTCTATTAGCCAGTCGTTAGTTGGCAGGCATCGATGTTCTATTTGCCCCTGAAGGGCAGAGATTTTTGCGGGTCTGGTGCCATAGTGTGCAAACCATCGAATGGGTTTCAGCAGGCCGCGGTCTATATTGAGATGGCGATACCATCTGTCTTTGACGAGGTCCCGCAGTCTACGTTTGGGTCGGAGCATCCGGTATGCGGATTTAGATTTCAAGTTCAGTAATGCCAGCGGCTTTGTCTTCCCTCTCGTGATCCGAACATCATGGGTCCACCGCCACTCATCGGGGTCTAAGGGAAGGTCCTCAATCAGGGTCGTTGGGCGATACACTCTCCAACCTCGTCCCTCATCAAGTACTATGACCCAATACACGCCCTTTCTCTCCTTCCAGATAAAGGGTTGTTGATTCCATTGTAATCCATCGTCCCTCAGGATGGAGAAGACTTCGATCAGGACTTGCGATTGGTTGACAAGGTGCACATTCGTTATCATGGTCGGGCAATCCTACCCAGTCTCCTTCTTTTAGGCAGGGGCCTTTCCTAAGGATAACATACCACTGGAGAGGGAAGCTATCAATGAGATCATTTAGTGCAAACTCAGTAAAATGGCAGTACCGCAACCAAACACACATTTTTTCTGCGCTTTTCCAGCTCCTTGCCTCCATGTCCCAAAGATCCCCGACCCCCCGGGCACCATGTTTCACCCAACCCTTCCATGGAGCATCCGTACTGCATCTTACGCGCCCCCAGGAGTCCGTGATTAGTCGGTTACCGAACAGGGGCTGCCTAAATATTTTTTCCCACCTATCTGGTGCAGGTTGGTCGGGGGGCGGGAGTTTCCTCCATGTGCATATGAGGTACAACCATTGTTTGTTCGTGGGATCCTCATTCCTGTATTTCCTCGGTAGTCTCCAATACCTGTCCTCAAGCTATACCAGGGGGTCAGTCTCAGGAGGGGCTTCAGGGCCAGGGCGGTGATTTGTGCCAGAGCGAGGGGGACCCAAGGGGAGGTTGGCGAAAAAATGATGTGTTGAAGCCAGCGGACCATGAGGGCCTGGAATTGTGTGGTTGGATCCACAATTCCCAGTCCACCTCTTGTCTTAGGCTGAATCACCGATTCCCACGCCACTCGACTAATAGCGTGGGGGTTGTTACTGTAGCGGACCCACCAGGTGTGGCGCTCCGCTAGTGACAGAGATGGAGATGGAGGAAGAAGGGGGGGAGCGAGATGGCACAACGCAGCTCCCCATGCAAGACTCCAACGCACGTACTCCAAAATGTGCTAGTGAAGAATGAGACTGAAAACAGACAATGGCTGGGGTATACCCCAGCGGACTGATGGGACTGGACTGGACTGGTTGGTACCGACAGAGGTACCGGCCTGGACTGGCCTACCCCGAATACAACACAGGCCTGTGAGAACAGGCCAAGGGGCTGATCTCACAGGCCAACCCGAGGTCCGCTACACGATCCTCGGCCTGTGATGGATCACCTAGATACAAACATGCTTCCACCAAGAAGCGGAACTCTACCAAAGAAAAGAAAACCTGAGTAGTCTAGGATGCGGAGCAAGCTCCATGCTGAGTCCATGCGATGCAACCTAGGGTATAAAATGTCACAAAACAGCAATGTCACAGCTAACAGCCTAAGTGAAAGCAGAAGCAACTAACTAACATACATGTCCTAGGAAAGCAAAAGCAACTAACTAGCATACATGTCCTAGGAAAGCAGAAAGTAGTGACAACTAGATCCTAGAATGTTGGAGTAACAACTGACTAGTGTATAAGTCCTAAGAACAGCAAAGCAGAACAGCTAAATCCTAAAAATGTGAGAGGCAGTAGCCTCAGTCTGCAAGCAACAAAGCAACAACAAGTCTATCATATGTCACATGAGAAGTGTGTCGCAAACCAAAGGGTGGGATGGTCTCTGAGGGTGGCGAATGCAGCCTAGGGGTCGAAAACTCCTAAGGGCATCCACACATAGATAACAGGGAGACACATGTCATCAGGCTCAATGAGGGTAGGGAACTGAGAGTGAACAGAACCAATGACCCTAACAGATAGACCATCAGGGCGGGTAATGCTCGACTAAGGGGTGACCGCTATGGAGGGTCGACCATGCAAGGGAACAAGGGAGCCTGGTATACTCGGCGCACCTAGATGAAGCATGCGGGGCTGCCTAACTAGGGCGTGAGGGCCGGCGAAGGGTAGAAAGATGATGGGTAAGGGAATCATGCAAATGACTCCTAAAGTGAGGGARGTCGGAGCTAGATCCGTAAGATGGGAAGCCAGGGCAACGCTACGGTCCCGATGCCTATGCGTATTCCAAGGGAGAGCCCAACTCAAAGGAACCCGACTAAAGGGAAACCATCATGTGACACAAGCAGGGTACTGTACAGGGTAGAG